TCTTGAATATACATTCCAGATCACCCAAATAACAGTCAAATCCCGAGAAACTTGAAGAGGACATCATTTACTAATGGATGAGCTTTAAGTCAACTCAGTGGCAAGATGTGTAAGATTAATCAGCCCTATAGAATCATAAAGGAAAACAATCATTTCATGCATATTGAAAACTTCACATCAGACCTTTGTCTTCCAACACTTCAAGCTCAGTCAAGTTAAGCTACCCCCAGAACACAGTAACCCAAGAAAAGCATGCCATAAGAAAAATGCCATAAGAAAAAAGCACAGTTTAGCCATCATCCATTGAATCAAAGTCCAGCAAAGAACAGTAGTAGACTACAGCTACTTTAGGAAAGGGAAGTTTGAGGCACAACACACACACACACACACACACACACACACAAACCATGCAGCAGCAAGATCAGGGATTATTACTGGTTTCAGAAGGGGGTGGATGGAAATCACGTTCCTTGTACTGGCTCAAAACCAGCAGCAGTTTGACAAGTATGTCTGCTCAGTGTAAGCAGCAGTTACAACGTGTTTTATACCTATACTAGAAAAGCTTTAAAGCCGCTCCAGTTTTGCCAGCCATTTTTACAAGTGGAAATTTGGAATGAGAAAGCCTTTCAAAAAGGCATTTGATAAGTGACAACAAACAAAAGCTTTGGGTGTAAACAGAAATACAGGAGAAACTATTTTCACATAGAGAAGCTGAAACTAATCAGAATCACAGAAAAATTCAGCTTGGAAGCAGTGTCACAAGATCCTCTGATCCAACCTTGTGCTCTAAGTGAGGCTAACTAAATTTGACACTATACCTTTCAATGTCACTTGTCAGTCACAAACCAGATGTGATTTACTGTCTTAACCACACACACTCACATCAGACCTATGCTTCCAGTGTTCTAGGGAAAAAAACAAATAGCAAAGCAGCATTATGGCTTTTTTTCTTAAACGCTAGCATTCCATCAAGCTTCTTTACACATCTGAGAAACAACAGGAAAACAGGCAATGAATTTATGAACACTTTGCAAATTGGGAAAAAGGAAAAGCTTAACCATGCAACCCCAAGTAACACAGATATTTCTTTACTGCTGAGAATGCATACTGTAGTACCACCACTTCCACTGAACTTCCAGGGGAAGTTTTTCCCCTGGACAAGGAACATCAAATGTCTCCACTTATTAAACGAATTTATCAGTTAGTAAAAGGGAACCCAAAGCAAAGAGAAACGAGCCACAATTTTTCATGCAAGATTCTTGCTGCTTCTTCCTCACACCAGCAGACCTTCAGTCTTTTGCAACTCAGAGTACTTATTTTTGCCCTCCTCTTGCCTTGGTGCATACAGTTACAATACACCAGGTGCACCCTGTAAAGTTTAACAAAATCTCAGCATATGTAGACAAGTTTCAAGAACTGCTAAATGTAAGCAATTCAAAAATATAACAGATGTTCTGCAGATTAAAAGAAATCCAGGAATGGGCGCAACAGTTCATTTAACCTTACTATTTTGCTAACCTTAGAAAAAAGTAGGATTCAAGAGACTCCAGGAAAGAACCACTATATGTGAAAATATTGTTAGGATTATCACAATCTGAGCTTACCTGAAGAAGTTTGTTTTTATCATACAGTTCATTCATATCTTGCTTCTAGAAGTCTTTCCTCATTTTCTACAGTCAAACCCCAACTAAGATGCCAGTTTCAACAGCTATCCACTGGCAGTAAAGGCATCACCTTTCAGCTACCCAAGGCTTTGAGGTTACAACACAACTCTGCTCCTCTCCCACTGCCTCCTCCAAGAGCTGCCACAATCACACACAAAACAGCTTAGAGAGAATAGCAGTAGGAAGGCAACTGTCCCTCACATCCATAGGATTAGAAACAAAATTTTAGTCAAATGATGACACCATATGAAGTCTAAGTCCTGCCTGCTGGCAAAATTCCTCCCTACCTCTTCTCCAGTACTTAAAGTTGAAGAAGGCACAAAAAAGAACAAAACAAGGCAGGATTGAAAGTCTCTCCAGAGGAACAAAACAGAACCAGGACTTTTTAACTCTGCATTTTAAAGTTTTACAAATGCTACTTTCCATAGTTATTTCCTTACTGTTTTTTTCCTCCAGGTGCAGAGCAAGATTTACAGTAATTCTAAGCCAGCAGGTGGCATTAACATCTCATATACCCTAAGCAAACAGTGTTAGCCAAATGATGCATACAGGCAAGCTTAAAAGCCCTATACCTAACGAGTAGTTGGAATGGAAAATTGGCTACAGCCTTCCCCATCCACTTGGACACAATGACACGACTGCCTTCACCTGCCTGATGGTTGGCTGCACTTCCTGCTTCTTCCATCTGCTCCATCGGGTCACGCCACAGAGCCCACATCAGAACCTCGTCCAGGAACACAATAAGGCACTTAGATTTTATTACCACTATTGCCATTATCCTTTAACAGAAGGATCACATTTTTTAATTTGTGCAATAAGCCTGTAATGTAAAAAAAGGCTGAGAAGTCCTACTCCTACCAAAGAAGATTTACTGCATAAGATGCTGATTCAGAACTCGGTAGACGTGGCTCCCTATTTTCAGAACCTCCAGTGCTGACAGGCAGTGTACCCCACTGCCATCAGTAAGAGCAGAAATACTTCCTTACCTCAAAGAAATGGGGGAATAATGTCCACTAACACTGAGGTCCTTGTACTCTCGTTTTACAGACACCTAAACGGACATCCTACTTACAGCAGGCAGGAGGAACAGAAGGAAATTAGATCTCTAATATCATTAACTTCATACTGAAGTCCACAAACATAAATGCAAAGTCAAAACATCATCTTAATAATGAAAATAGAATTAATGGGGATATTTTTTCTTTTCCTTGACCTTGAAGTTAAACTAATTTAGAGCATGCCTTGACAAGACAGGAGTCCAGCAGACAGGTTTCTGTGTTTGCTTTTTAAGTGTTCATTAAAACTCACTCTTCTCATTACTGCATAGAAGAATCAGCTTCACTGCCCTTCAGAGGAAAGCAGAAATTAAGATCCAAGAAGGAACAGGAATTACTTTCTTCTGAATACACGAGAAAAACAGTACCAGCACATGCAGAGAACACATCCACTCATCCCTTAATTTCAAAAAGTGATTTCAATAAAAAATTCAAACTTGTTTTTTAAAACAGAGAACTCTTCTAGAGGGGCCTTAAGATACCAACCTACAGCAAAGAAAATTCACATCAGGAAGGCTTATAAAACTATTCTTGTTCACTTGGATGAGCAAGAGGAGACTGTTTTCCACGTCCACTCTCTTCTGTATCAGAAATCTCATTGCTTCCATGTAAAGTTATGCTGAATCTGAGGTGGTTTTGATTTAAAGATCTAATTTTACCTTCTGGATCCCAGTGTAACAAGTGCCCCTGCAGGAAGCCCAAGATTATACAGCTGGAGAAGAAGGAATAAATGAACTGCACACAAGAATAGCTGGGAGAAATGACACAGGCCTTCAGAGTGGTCTTCTTCCAGAGGTCTTTGGTTCTTATGTTGAAGGTTTCCCCCAGGGCCTGTGCTTAAAACAGGGAAAACTGAGATGCAGCTTCCACCCAAGCCACAAGGCAGAAGAGCCAGGGTTTGCTTGCCGCAGACGCCTATTGCTGCAAGGGGCTGCAGCAGCTCTGCTGCTTGACAGAAGGATCCACAGGGCACGAGAAAACCTCAGGCAAATGAGGGGATGTTTGCAGGCAGTACATGCATAAAAAGATATCTCTTACAAGAAAGGGAGAAGCTGATGTTTCATTTTTCTTCTCAACACAGATCCTTACAAGCACAGAAGCATGTGCTTTGTCACCTTCCTAACTAGATTAATAACGGGATTTTGCTGGTACAGAAGTCAAACCTACAAAAGAAGTTTTAGGGCTAGGTAATATCTGTTAACTGCTCCTGACGTTCTTTAAGGCACTGTCATACTCAAGATGAACAGATTTTGCAGATCAGATTTTAGTACTTGGTTTTCAAAGATCGGTAGCTGCAGTTCAACAATTTAAAAACGTAAAGCTTACTCCATCTGCATCATCCAGGAGTTAGGCTCCAGAAAACACGTTCTGTTTCACAAGCCAACCAAGCTGCTAGGCCGAGGATGAAGATGCTGGCCACCTTCTTTCACAAGACATTAATGATCTGATATAACAGGAAGTGATTAAGCAGATGGTAGCAAGGTAAACCACAGTGATAAAAGACAAAAGCATGTGTGGCCTACATCTTGAGAAAAGACACGTTTTACGCATTGTGATTCTTTTAAATAATAACCCTGGCTACGTTTCATTTTCCTCCGACATATCTGCATAGCATTTATAGGTTTAGTAAAGAAACAGGGCATATTTTCACCTGTAAATGGCACTTAAACTCTTTATACCTATATGCTCTCAGTGATGGCTTGAGCATCCCAAGAGGACACTGCTACAGAAAGGAACGAAAAAAGCCAAACCCAGTGCGATTAAGGCTTTACTTCGGTTTGTGATAACAGCCCCTAAAATAAAATTATTACTGTACTTCAGAACCATTAGACTTCACCTCGCTGCACGCAAGGAGCAATTAGCACTAACAGTCGTACTTCAGGACTGCGACGGCGTAGCCTGAAAACCATTACGGCACCTATAGAAATGCGAAGTTACCCAAGCAGTGCGAGACACCAAGCCGGCACACGTGCCCACACCTGCGGTTCGCAGCTCCATCCCATGCGCAGCGCTGCCGGGGGCGCCGGGAATCCCACCCGAGCCGAAAGCAGCGCCCATGTGCTCGGCCCTCCCCTCCCGCTTCGGGAGCGCTTCCGCCGGGCGCAGCGGCACAGCACCGGGCACCGCCAGCGCCACCGCCGCCCCCAGGGATGCCGACCGCCCTGGGCGGGCCAGGATCCCCGGACGGGAAGGAAGGAAGGAAGGAAAGAGCGGGGGCCGCTGTCTTCGGCCGTTCCGAGGACGGGCGGGGACTCGGGACGGCTCCCCCGTGAGAGCTCACCTTTTCGAGAGGTCCATGAGGACCCCGGAGAACAGCTTCTCCCCCAGCCGGAACGAGACCACCAGGGCGTCCTCGATGATGTGATCCAGGGTGACCCGCACCTCGGAGCCGGGCAGCAGCGGCGCCTCCGCCTCCCCCCCGCTTGGGGCGGCGGGCGGCGGGCGCTCGGGCTCCGCGGCGGCAGCATCCGGCTCCTCCTCCTCCGGCCGGGACGGCTCCTCCCCGGGCTCCCGCTTCGCGGAGCCCCCGGCAGCCGTAGGGCAGGGCTGCGGCCACTCCTCGGGAAGCTGGGGACGCGCGACGGGCGGCGGGCAGGGCTGCGGCCGCTCCTCGGGCTCCGGGCCGGTCACTCCTCGGAGCTCGGCCTGCGGCGAACCCGCCTCGAGGCCGGAGGGCGGCGGCGTCTCCGTCCTTTCGCCTTCCGGCTCCCGCGTCCCGGCCGGGCTCCGGGCGAGCTGCACGGGCGGCGGCTCCTCGGCCTCGCCGGGAGCTCCCTTTCCCCCGTCGGCCTCCTCTCCGTCGGGCGCCGCCGACTCCACGGCCTCGGTGACGGCAGGAGGAGGGTCCGCGCCGGCCTCGCTGCCCGGGATGGGCTCCATCTCGGGCTCGGCTTCGCCCGCCCCCCCATCGCCCGGCACCGCTGCAGTCGCTGCCGCCTCCGCAGCCATGGCCGCCATTTTCTCTGCTGCTTCTCCGCCGCCTCCCTCCAGCAGCGGGATCGATAACCACGGCCTTCCCCGCCCGCCTGGGAGGGAGAGCCCGCCCCCTAGGCTCACGTCTGGCAGTCTATTGGTGGACGCCACGGAGCTTTCTACTTCTAATGGAGAGCGAAGCTGTCAGTCGAGCCCAGTGGAAACTTCCCGTTGGTCAGTGAGGACTTCATTCAATGGAGAGTCGGGAAGAGGAAGAAGGGGCGTGGCTTAGCGCTTCACAGGTCCTTACGGACGAGAGGGGCCGAGCCTCTGCGGCAGCTCCGTCGTTTCATTGGCGGAGGGAGGAGCCGCTCCCAGAGGAGGGCGGTCATTGGCGGGAGCTGACGTCCGTCAGTGGAGCGCGCGGTGGTCGGCATGCGCGCTGCGGGCGGCCGGGAGGGGGCGCAGGGGAAGATGGCGGGGCACGAGGGCGGCCTCGGGGGGTTCCTCAGGCCCCTCTAAGGGACCATCCCCGGGGGAGGGGTTGAGGGGCGAAATCGGCTGTAATGGGAAAAACGTGAGGGTGATAGGGCGCTCGTTGCGTTATGTGAAGTAAATCAAAGATGAATTTTTTTTTTAATTGGGTTTATTGGGTAAAAGTGAAAAGCAGGTGGGGGGAAAAGAGAGGGGAAAAAAAGAAAAAAGTTAACGTTTTCCCGTGGGACGTTCTGAGTCAGTGGTTTTCTCCCCGTGGGATCAGTGCTTGGTGTGTGGGGATTTGCTTCTCCCAGGTAGGAAATCATGCACTTCTTAAGCAAATTTTTTAAAAAAAGAAAAATAAAAGAAAAATAAATAAAATATTTTTAAAAAGAGACACGGTTTAGGTTGTTACATGTGTCTTTGGAAGCTGCTTCCCTTTGAGGAGCAGAAAGGAGAGCGCCGTTAGGAGGAGAGATGGGAGGTGGGAGCAACTAAGGAGGTGGGTGCCATCAGAGCGTGGGTGCTTCTCCTTCCACATGCTGGTGTCAGGGATATGTTGCTCAGTGACACACAAAAATTGCTGTAAATAACAAGCCCAAACTCTAAAGTTTTCTTTAAAAGCAAAACGTCCCCTTTGGATCAAGGTAGTGACTTCTTACGGGCAGGTTTTGAAGGGGTAGGAATTGAGCTATACCCCATGTGTTTGCTTTAAAGCATATAAATAGTGGGTGCAAAGCCAATGAGACTTTTCTAAGAAGTAAGAGGAAAAATCATTAATCAAGTGTAAGGCCCAGTAGTGTGCTCACCTTTTTTTTTGTTGTGGAAAATAGGGCTACGTGCAGATTACAGCAATGCGAGCCATTTTCTTAAGTAATAGACTGGGAGTATTCTTTAACAGCAAAGCAGAGATGTATAACAGTTAGTTCATTGCTACTCATGTATGGACCTGTGATCTGCTGGCTGTAGGATTTCAGTAGAGAATAAGTATTAAAGTGCTCTGTTGGCCTGAATGCAGTGGTTTGACACGTAACATGCATGGACTCTGCCCCATTTATATCTGGTAGTGCTTTGCTTCACATAGTAGTGTAAATTGTATAAAAAACATATAGGAACATCAGGAAAAAACTAGATGTATTTCTGGAGGCATGCATCACAAATATAGTTACTATTGCTTAATATAGTTAAATGCTATGAAAATATAGGTAGAATCACTTAATTTTTTATGTTTTCCCATCGTATCTGTTATACTGCTGGTTTGGTAATGTGGTTTTGTAGGATAGAATGTATTTACTGGGGGAACAAATAGTAGATACTGATTTTAATTTTTTCTTAATTATTTTTTCCCAGGCATGCTCCCAGCTTTATCAATCAGTATCACAGAGAAACAGCAGATGGATTCGACATACGATCTGTGGTTTTTAAGAAATCATATGTGGTAAGCTTTCATAAAACTGCCTACTATTAATATTACTGCCTAGGTCATTTTGAAACAATTTTGTTTGGCCAACATTGTAAGATATGTGACCTGTATCCTGAGGCTATAATACTTTGAGAGATGGTAACTGTCCAAGAGCCTTCAAGGCTGAACGTGTCATTTCTCAGAATTCTGGAGAACAGCAAGAAGATTTGTCACTACTGAATTACCTTAATTTCAAGCTGTTCTTGAGCAAGGATTTCAGTTTTTTTCTTTATGTTCCACCTGGCAGAGTGCAGTAGTGGCACTCAAAGATTTGCAGAAGTTGCAAACGATGCAGAAGGGGTTCTTATCTTGAAAGAGGCTGGTGTCGTAAAAACAAAAATAAAAACGGTCAGACAAGTGTAAGGAGGGCTGTGCTGTTTTTTCCTCTCGTTTCCTTTGTCCTCTGCAATTGTGTCGGCGTATGATGCATCAGAAACCTTTTACCTTATTCAGCTGAGTCCTAGTGCAGATTATAAAAACATATTAGTGAAGATAGCTCATATGTAACACCAGAACTGTTTTCACATTACTCTCCTACGCAAAGAACTTGGCTGTGCTTGGAGGTACTCCAGCTGTATTTCAACAGTAGGCCAAACCGTACTCTGCCTGCACAGAGCCGTTCTGCTTGTTAGAGCCATGCTCATCTGTTCTAATGCTGCTTTCCCTGTAATGTCTTACACTTGTAGTGTACACTTGTTGTGAGGAAAAGGCATCAGGTTAGCCCTCAGGGTTGGCAGGATGAAGGGATACATATTGTCAGAGCTTCTTTTTATTGGTTTTAGTTTCCGTATTTAAGAGAGGTAGTGCTACTGTGTTTCAAAAGGCAGGAGAGGACAGAGCTGTTGCGGTTCCTGCTATAAAACAGCGCGGCTTGTGTATTTACTTCATATAGTTGTGATTTTAACTGTGCTATACGGATAGTTCAGTTAGCTGCAATTCATTTTCCTAGTGCTGCTGTGCCCTGGCATAGAAGAATGGCGTTAAATTCAGAGCTTACAAGAAATTACCAATTTATACAAAGAGACTACTCCTTGAGCTAATGGAACATTGAGATCTAATAGCTTAGCCCAGCAGGCTTTTTGTTATGTTAAATTCAGACTTCTGTAAAGGATGGGCAGAAAATGGAAGATTTCCGCTTCTAAAACTTCGGGGAGATTAATGCTTACTGAAACCAACCCTGCTTTTCATCAAGTGTTGCTTATGGCAGGCAATTAGCATTAAAATGCTGAAAGCCATCTTTTAGTCCGTTGGAGTCCGCAGTAGTCCTTATGCGAAGCAGGGGAAGCGAACCTCGGTGTATGATTTGTTAACACCTCTCGAAGTTTCCTTGTAATAACAAACTGAGGAGGTAACCTCTAACCCGTCCAACCCAACCACTGCAAACGTGGGGGGAGGGAGGGTCTTAAAAATGACATATAACCAGCTCTTTGTCCATGTTATTTACGTGTTCAAAGGAGCTGCATGTGCTTGTAAAAATAAGTAAATAGAACATTTATATGTTGTTCTACTCCAATGGTGAACAGAAATAGGATATCACAAGTAACCCTGAGTGGGAATGCTGTTAGCAGTAGGCATGTACATGCAGGATGAAACATGTTCATTGAACAGAAAAATGCTTGTTGTATAACTTTTCTCCAGCCCAATCTTTGTTGATCACCATTTAATTTCTGTTTATTTTAAATGTAGTCTGTAGTCTCCTGAGGATAGGGTTTGTCTTTCTGTGGCTGGTTTGCATAGAGATTAGCATAGCTGAGGCCTTGTTTCTGTCCCCGAGCCTTTACAAACTGCCAAATGAAAATGAATGAAGTTAATGAAACAAATTGCACAATTTCTTTAGATTAAAATGAGTCTCTGTTCAGCGATTGGCAGAAAGGACAAAAGTAGAAAAGAAGCCATGAATTCAAGGGAGGAAGGAACTCATAAAATTGGAGTGCATAAAATGATGAATGTGAAGGCAGGAAAAATGCAAAGTTATTTGAAGATATATTAACAGACTGAGTGGCAGAATTTACACTAAGCTTGAATTGAGTGAGTAAATGGATGTGATGAGCTTGTGGTAAAAAGCAGAGGTGGTTCTATCACTGCATCAGTATACACTGGTGGAAGAATTGTGTTTCTAAGCTGGGTCATGGTAAGGATCAGGTCTGGCAGCCTTGTCTATTGAAATGCTTCTACTGCCAGATATTGATGCTGACTTTTTTCTGTCAAGGCCAAAAGGTCTTATTGCACCAAACTAAATATTAATAGGAAATCTCAAAGTGTATGGATAATCACAGTGTGTATGTGCTTCACTTGTACAGTGGTAACAACGTCATTCTGTGTGCATTGGGTTCAATAAACGTATGCTGCCATGAGAGGTCCAACAGACAATGCAGGCACATCCACAGGGTTGAAATGGAACATTATATACCACAGGCATGTCAGGGAGCCAGTGAAGCCAAAATTGTTTTTTTTTGCAGCAGGCAGCTAAATGGTAGCTGAGTATTTCTACCATTACAGGTGAAACAGCCTCAAGAATGGGCTGCACCTTGCAATTGCCTAGCAGCCAGAATTCGTTGTTACTGGTGTCCAAGGTGGCTAGATACACATGCATTCACTGTAGCTGTTGATGCTGCAGTTGATCTATATGTAGACAAATGGAAACCTTAAGTGATTATGTGGACTTACAAGAAGTCTTGATAGAATATCAGGTATTTTTTCCTGATTTCTGGCTGTTATGTAAGAATTTTAGGTTAGAAGTTTACAATTTGAAGCTCTAACAAACTTATTCAGGTTCTGTGACTCCACACATCAAAGGGATTTTATGTTATCAACCAGCAACTCCTATCTTTCCTGTCAGGAGCAACACTAAGAAATAATGCACTTTGGAAAATGCAACATTGTTCCACTTGTTGATTGGGATCATAGTGGCAACAGATTCCTGTGGCTGTCATAGTGACAACAATTTCTTGTGACCCTGAGCAAAATCTGAGTCTCATAAAAACCCTCAGTAGGTCATGGTTTAAGAACCATGGTTTTATACTGAATTACTTTAAAATGGATTTAGTAACACAATGTTTGCCAGTCAAGCTCCACAACTGTGACATTTTCAAGGCTTCTGTATTCAAAAAGAAAATAAATGTGACCAGCGAA